CCCTTCCTGTCTGGTCTGGATGCCTTTAACTTCTTTTTCTTATTGCTAGAACATCCAGTACAATGTTGAATAGGAGTGAGAGTGGGCACCCTTGCCTTGTTCTGATCTTAGGGGGAAAGCATTCAGTCTTTCACTACTAAGTATGATGTTAACTATAGGTTTTTTTGTAGATGTCCTTTATTAAGTTGAGGAAGTTCTTTCTATTCCTAGTTTGCTGAGACTTTTGGTCAGAAATAGATGTTGGATTTTGTCAAATGCTTTCCTGTACCTATTTAGATGATCATATGGTTTTTCTTTTTAAATATGGTATATTAGTTTCCTAGGGCTATTGTAACAATGTACCACAAACTGGATGGCTTAAAATAATAGAAATTTATTCTACACAGTTCTGGAGGCTAGAAGTCTGAAATCAAGATGTCAGCATGGCCAACTTCCTCTGAGACTCTGGGTAGACTCTTTGCTTGCCTCTTCCTATCTTCTGGTGGTGGCCGTGAATCCTTGACATTCTTTGGTTTGCAGCTGCATCACTATGACCTCTGCCTCTGTTGTCACCTAGTGTTTTCCCTGTGAGTCTGTCTTCACATGCAGTTTTTTTCTTCTAATAAAGACACCAGTCATATTGGATTAACATCTACCCTAATGACCTCATAAAAGCTTGATTATATCTGCAAAAGCCTTATTTTCAAATAAGGTCATATTCACAGATACCAGGAGTTAGGACTTCAGCATATCTTTTTTGGGGGACACAATTCAACCCATAACTTATGGTAAGTTATACTGATAGATTTTTCAAATGTTAAACCAACCTTGTATCCTTAGGATAAACGCGCGTGGTCATGATGTATTTGTTTTTTTTTATAAATTATTGAATTTGATTTGCTAAAATTTTATTAAGAATTTTGTATTATATTCATAAAGGATAGTGCTGTATAGTTTTTTTTTTTTTTTTTTTTTTTTTTTTTTTTTTTTTCTTATATGGCCTTTGTTTAGTTTTGGCCTCAGAGTAATGCTGGACTCATAGAAATAGTTGGGAAATATTCTCTCCTCTTCACTTTTCTGGAAGAATTTTTGTTAAATTGGTATTATTTTTTCCTTAAATGTTTCATAGAATTTACCATGAAGCCATATGAATCGAGGTTTTTGGGGGGAAGCTTTTAAGCTATAAATTTAATTTATTTAATATATGTACTAATGAGGTTACCAGTTTCTTCTTGAGTGAACTTTAGTAGTTTGTGTCTTTTAAGGAATTTGTCCATTTAATGTAAGTTGTGAAATGTATTGATGTGAAGTTGCTCATAATATTCCCTTATTATTCTTTTTACGTTTATGGAAATCTGTAGTGATGTCACTTCTTTCATTCCTGCTGATAGTAATTTGAGTTTTGTCCCTTATTTCCTGATTAGTCTGGCTAGAGGTTTATCAGTGTTATTGACCTTCTCAAATAACTCACTTTGGTTTCATTGATTTTTCTCTTTTGTTTTCCTGTTACCTATTTCATTGCCTTCTGCTCTGATCTTTTTCTTCTTCTGCTTTGGTTTCATTTGCTCTTGAGGTAAAACAGGAGGCCATTGATTTGAGATCTTTCTTTCCAAAGGAGTATTTAGCACTATAAATTTCCTTCTAAGTACTGCTTTAGCTACATCCTAAAGATTTTTATATGATGTGTTTTCGTTTTTATCTGCTTTAAAATTCTTTCTAACATACCTTTTGAATTCTGAGTTGACCGTAGCATATTTAGAAGTGTTATTTAATTTCCAAATATTTGTGAGGTTTTCCAGATTTTTTTGTCATTGATATCTAATTTAATTCTATTGTGGTCAGAGAACATACTGTGTATATTAAAAAAAACAACTGAGGTATAATTTTCACACCACTTTGCATGATTTTAATCCTTTTAAATTTATTGAGACTTGCTTTATGGCTTAATATATGGTTTATCTTGATAAATGTTACCTGTGCACTTGAAAAAACATGAATTTGCTGTTATTTAGCATATTCTATAAATGTCAGTTAGGTTAAGTTGGTTGATAGCACTGTTCAAGTCATCCATGTCTTTACTGATGATTTGTCTCCTTACTCTATCAATTATTGAGCAACACAGATATCAAACTCTTTGACTATACTGTAATCATGAATTTGTCTATTTTCCCTTGCTGTCCTAACCGTTTTGCTTCATGTATTTTGAAGCTTTTTTATTAGGTGCAAACACTTTCAGGATTGTTATGTCCACTTGATGAATTGAAATGTGCCTTTTTACCCCTGTTAATATTCTTTGCTCTGAAATCTTTGTCTGATATTAATATAGCTATGAACATTTAACATTTTAATAGAAATTGCCAAATTTCCTCTCAAAAAAAGCCTGTGTCATTAAATAAGATGTTCCCCTATTCTGGTCCACATCTATTGAGATTTTGATATGAACCTCTTTCTAAACATGTAATGTTTTTTCTGAATTGGGATAAGCTAACATCTTGCCAGGCCTCTGGTTCTTTATCTGCACAATGGCAGTAGTCAATAGCAGCTCTGCCATCGTGTGCCTCTGTGTGTGTGTGTGTGTGTGTGTGTGTGTGTGTGTGCGCGCGCGCGCGCCCGCGCACAGACCAGGGGTTAGACATGGAGTTAAGGGGAGGGCAAGGTTTAGAAAAGACAAATGAGAATTTTCACTGTCAGGGAAGGTAGTAGGTAAGGGGGCATCTGGCTGCTTTAATCCAGCTCAAGATATCAGGGACAGGTGATTAAACCTCATGGCAGTGAATTTGTGATCTCAGAGTCACTACTGGGTCTCAGATATACCCAAGGTTGGAGACAGGTACTTTTTTTTTTTTTTTATGGGTGAAAAATAGATAATTTGTGACATTCAATAAAGGAAGTGATGAGTAAAAGGGAGCCAGAGTGATGAGTAAAAGGGAGCCACTAAAAACTTTAACTCATTTTATTTGCTGCTAGGGTTGCCCAGTCGGTGGATCTGGAAAAGTCTCAGGTGCTTTGGCCCCGAGAGAGGTGGAACCAAATAGGTTGCCAGAAACAAAGAGATCCAGGAAATTTTGGTTGATTGGTAGCAGGACATCAAGTTTAGACCAGCATTTGGCTTTTCTATTAGGTGTGTTTTAACATTAGGCCAGGCCACCACCTTTCTCTCTGCTTGGGTGAGGCTGCAGCAAACATCACTCAACACATCACATTAAGTACTCAGGTCTAAATACCCTCTGTTTTGTGGCCTCTTCAGTCACTAGAACTATAAACAGACTACTGGCTAATTATTGTTTAATTATTGCTTAAAAACCGATTGGCACAATACAATCACTGCATTAATTACCCCATACAGCATCTGCTTTCTTTTTTGCCGTCATCCCCATTCCTCCCCAGCCCCTCTCCCCACTTTAATTGAAATTCAGCTTGCTGTAACACCTCCTTTCTCCTAGCCAACTGGATCTCTCCATTCACACAAGGGAGAAGAACAAAACAGAGAAGGCCCCAGGGATTAGGGAGTTTTGACAGCTGTCCAAGAAGAGCGCTGAGATACCGGCCAAGTACGGAGGCAGGATAGAGACAAATGAGAGACAGCAGAGAGAGACAGAGGGAGGGAGAGAGATAGGCAGGGAGGCATCACAAGAGGCACAAACTGGACAAAGAGTCGCAGTAACAGGCAGAGATGTTAAAAGGGGTGCTGAAAGGGTGAAAAGGAAGAGAAAAGCTAAAAGGAAAGAGAAACTCTGGAAAGATGGTGAGGAAGATGCGAGAGGCTCAGGAGGGCAGTGAGGCAGGAGAGAGCTTGTCAGGACGGAGGGGAAGAAAGGCCAGCCTCTAGGGACAGGTCAGTCCAGCGGGGGGACCGGTGTGAAGATCTGAAGAAGGCGGGCAGGCAGCTTGGGGTCCCCATCACACACCTGGGGTGGGGTGGGGCGGAAGAGGTGGCCGCGGGGCTGGGAGGAGCACCGACAGCGCCAGGGGAGAGGCCGAGCGCGCAGAGCCCGGGCTCAGAGCCCCGTGTGCG